CCGCGACTACGCGGCCTATAACGTGCTGGACGACCCCGAGCTCCGACAAGGTCAGGCCCGCGGCCGCGGGGTCGGGTGACCCGCGGAGGCTTCGGAGCGCGCAGGTCGGAGGGTCATGCTGGGGCCTTGGCGCCTGAGAGCCCGAGGGCAGCGGGGCGAGGCCGAGGTGCCGTCGTGCGGGGCGGGGTCTCTGCAGTTTCTACCGGCGTTAGGGCGCGGAGTACTGTCCTGGAGAGAGAGTTAGGTACGGCTGTAATTGACTCGCGCAGATCTTGAGGGTCTGGGGCTCTGGGGCTGTTGCCAGTTTGGACAGTGGTGTAAGTCCTAGGAGTCCATGCTCACTTTGAGGGGAATGGGCACTTCCAGGCGAGCAGTCTCTGGCAGACTCCCCGCCCTATAGGACTCGGGGAGTGGGGCAAAGAGGGGAGCTCATAACGAGTGTCCTCTAGGAGGTAGGCGCTTTAAGGAACACTTTGAGGGGCTTGGAAGCCTTTGGTGTGCCTTGCGGATAGGGACTGGTACTGTTCACGGGGGAAGAGGGCCACATTGCCCTTGTCTGAGGTTAGTGGGGTCAGAGGCTGGCCTTTCATGGTTCAAGGCTCAGGGTGTCAGCGACCATCCTCTGTGGTTGCTACAAGGAGAGGGCTAGTATTACAGTCTGGGTTTCTGCACTCCAAACTAACTCATTGCCTCAACTTGGGAGTCCAAAAGGACAGGGACCAGAGCATCAGGGCCTGTGGTTTTTTGTTTCCCACGGGAAGGTAGAGGGCTATGACAGCTAGTTAGCATCTCTGATGCAATGTGTTAGGTAATTTATCAGCATTCTCCCATTCTAGGGTGGAGGGAGGAGAGGACCAGCATAGGGACCTGCTCCTTTTGTGTGTGTGTGTGTGTGGGGGGGGGTGACAGTGGTAGTGTTAGGGATTAAAACCAGGGTGGTTTACCCCTGAGCTCCATCTCCAGTTCTTCTTTTTTTGTTTTGAGACTGAAGCTCTCAAGTTGCTGAGAGTCTCACTGAGTTTCTGAGGCTGGCCTCAAAGTATCAATCCTTCTGCCTCAGTTTCCTGAGTCACTGAGATTACAGGCATGTGCCACTGTGCCCTGTAGGGTCCTCCTCCTGGGCAAGGAAGGATTGGTTGGGGTAGGTGGAGAAATGGGAAATCTGTGTTCATTTTTCCTGGGGACTAGCCCCGGGGCACTGCTTTCTAGTTAAGGACTTTGAGGGGCTGAGTTTTCTGCACCTCCTTTGCCTGGTACTTTCAGATTGTGCTAAAGAGAGATCCCAGTTTCTATGTTAGGGTGGGCATTTGAAGTTACTAACCATGGTCTTTCCTTACGTTGATGTAACAGGCTGGTGTTGTGAAAAGTACATTTTGGAGACTTGTGTTCTGTTAGCCTTACACAAGTCACAACTAACTGCAGTTTCCTTTTCAGTAAATTGAGGATAATGACACCCGACTTGGCAAAAAAAAGTAAAAATGACAGAAAGTGGGGATCACTTCATTTGGTACAGAAAGCACCCAGTAAATGGTAGCTATTTTATTATTAGCACTTCATGGTTTTCTAAGTATTTTCCGCCCCCCCCCCCACATTGTTTCATCCTTGTAAAAAAAAAAAACTCTTGGTATTGGACGATCCTACATATGCTACTGGCAGTAGTTTTGTTGGATGAAACCTAGGAGGCGTGTTAAGTGACGGAGGAAGGGCAATTTATTATTGCTAGGTTGACGTGACATTACCACACATTGCACTCATGAGTCTGATCAACAAGAACTTGGCCAGTTTTCTGGCTGCAGGTTTTATCAAGCACAGGGGGATCAGTGGCCTTCATTGAAAGCCAGCTTCTTGACTTGAAAGATAAGAGTAACCACTCTGCAATCTTTCAGCTGGGACCTTGCCATAGATCCCCTGGAGATTGCCAGTATGGCTAATAGCAAAAAGTTGTACTATTGATACTTCAATACCATGAACTTCTTTAATTTGTAAATTTAATGTTGTTTAATGTAAGTGGAGATAAGGTATACTGGAATATGACTAATAAACACCATGGGAACAGAAATTAGGGTTACTGATGGCATTAATAATGTCTCTATCATCTTATTTTTTACATCTGGAGTCTAATCTATGTCCTTTAAATGCTCAAATAACAGTGAGAGGAATTTAACCCTCACTTCTCATGACCTTTGAATTTCATTGGATTGTTATTTTGGTTAATAAATGCATTGCATAGCTGGACATGGTGGCACATGCTTGTGATCCCAGCTATTCAGGAGGCTGAGGCAGGAGGATTTTAAGTTCCAGACCAGCCTGGGTAATTATAAACCATGTCTTCAAAAAAACAAACAAACAAACAGGTGAATGGGACTGGTTGTGTGTAGAGTGTTGCCTAGCATGTAGGAGGTTCTGGTTTGTTTGTTTGTTTGTTTCTTTCTTTCTTTCTTTTAAGTTGTAGTTGGACACAATACCTTTATTTTATTTGTTTATTTTTATTTGGTGCTGAGGATCAAACCCAAGGCCTCACATGTGCTAGGTGAGCACTCCACTGCTGAGCCACAACCCCAGCCAGAGGCTCTGGTTTATCCGCAGTACCACACACACAAAAAAAAAAGAAAGAAAGAAAGAAAAAAGAAGTTCTTCATAAATATTGAGTATCACATACACCTCTTCTATTGCTTAGAAAAGCATAATGGAAGTGCTCGTGTTCAGGCTGGGGCAGGGTGATGTAAGGGCATTCCCATGGTGAGGACTACTGTGGCCACGTTAGGACTTTACATCATGAGACTCCTTTTCTCTCTGCTCTGCACCTGAAGTTTGCCAAGAGAGGCTGACAGGCGCTTGGTGCTTGCTTTTGCCAGCCAAGTAAGCATGTCTGCTTACCTTTCCCAGGCTCAGGGTTGCTTCTCAAAACTGCTGCAGGGCTCCTGCAAAATTGGCCCTTCTTTGTGTCTTGTACCAGGGAAGACTGAGCTTCACAAAGGGCCCAAGTCCAAGAAAACACTGTCCCCCTAGCTCCTAGGCCTGGGTGTTAGAAACCTGATGCAGAGAGGCCTTCTTGCCCTCTGCTTTATCTGGAGTATGCAGGGGTCTTGAAGAAGCCTGGAGCACAGTGCTGCCTCCCCATTCGCCTTTGTTCCTTGGGTCACATCAAGACCTCTCTCCAAACAGATCCTGCTTGTCTGGACATAGTATTTTGCCCTCTACAGAACAGAGGACGTGTCTTATGCACCTGCCTGTGGCGCCATGTCTGCTGTTTATGCAAAACAGGCTTTCAGTGACTTCTTTAATGGATCAGTTAAGACTTTTGTTAATTTATCATCATATTGCAAAATCTGTGTTCTTAAAAACATTATAAACATTTCTGAATTTCTTCTTGTTTAGATCATCTTTGTATTCCTTGCATTGGGAATAGTGTCTGACAAAATAGAGATTCAAATATTGTTGAATGAGTAACCATTGTCTTATTGTTTTTTTCTTTTTTTGTAGTTACAAAAATTTTAGCTGGGTGCAGTGACTCATGCCTGTAATCCCAGCAGCTCAGGAGGCTGAGACAGGAGGGTGCAGGTTCAAAGCCAGGTTCAGCAATGCCAAGGCATTAAGCAGCTCAGTGAGACCCTGTCTCTAAATAAAATACACAATAGGGCTGGGGATGAGGCTCAGTGGTTGAATGCCCCTGAATTCAATCCCCAGTACCAAAAAAAATTTTTTTTAATTAACATTATACATTTTTCGGGCACAGTGTACTATTTCATTGCATATACAGAATGCAAATCAGATCAGAGTAGTTGCCTCAGACTCTTGTTTCCTTGTGCTGGGAATTTTTAGAACCTCTCCGAAACCGGTTGTCACCAGTTATCCTACTGGCTGTGGTGTATGAAAAGGTATTCCTTGTGTCCAGCTCACCCTGTACCTGTCAGCCATCCTCCTTCCTCCACACTCCCATATCCTACTGTTGAATGTTTATTTAACATTTGAAAACACATGCCACCTTTCCAGTGTCGTGAATTTGCTGCATTAGTAAAGAAAGCCCTTCTTACATGGCGTGTACTGACAGTTGGACAAGGGGTTGCGGGTATGCGCTGGTGTGGAATGTAAGTTCTATGCTATAAGTGTGAG